TTTTAATTTTTGATGTTATTAGATTAAGCTTTTAATTTTAGTTAAAAATTTTTTGAAACCTGATTTTCTTAGAAATCCTCCCATATATTCTTTAATAAATAAAATTTATATTTTATATATTATAAAGCAATTTAATCATTTAGTTATTTGCTAAAAGGTTAGTTAAAGTTTAGACTTTAATCAAGGATTTAATCAAATATAAAATTTGCAAAAGTTTAGTCATGATAAAAATAATTTAGACAGGCATCACTAATTTTAATAATATATTATTTTTTTCTTTAACTTTCTTTTTGCTAATTTATATTCTTCTTTTGATTTTTTTAATTTCATCAATAGTTTTTATTGTAAAATTTAAAATTTAATTTTTCAAAAATGAATAATCTGCAATTTTTTTTTTTATTAATATGCATGATATGAAGATTAATTATAGAAATCCCATTAGTATAGTATGTTTTATTCTGTCTAAGATTCTCCCTTAGATCTTTGATACATATCAGCAACTTTACCTAGAACACATTTCTATTGTTACCACCTAGTTTAGACACCTGAAATAGCTATGCCTATAATAACAGACTTATTAGATTCTAGGGTACCATTATTATTAGATAGAGTGATCACTTTAATTATAGAGTTTATTATACCTTATTTTACCATAATTCTTATCAGAAATTACAACCTTTACCTGTTATTCAGGTAGGTCTGGTAATGAAACAACCTTATAAGGTTTATACTGAGTTACCATCTCTATGTAGAACTGTAAAAGTAGTAACTGTCATACCCATATCATCAATTTACCTGAGAATGAATTGGTACTGTTCTTCAAATCCAGTATTTAGGTATGATTAACATCAATCGGTAGATTAATCGACCAGTTTCAAACGCATAGTAGTATATACACCCTTATGTTCAGTTACAATGAAAATCTTACGATAATCATACAGTTTATGCCTTGACTGGGATCTAAACCTAAGGCTTTCGCAGTGTAACTGATCGGTAATATCATTTTTTTTAAATGTCACCTATTGGTCTTTATCCATTAAATTGAATTATATTATAACTTATAGTGTGAAACCATTTTTTAAAAATGTCAGTGCATAGTTCCTTCAATGCTTCTGACTTTTAACATATTTTGTAGTCTTTGAAGAAAAGTTAAAGTAGCTTGAAATTGGAAATGTAATAATATATATTCTCCTACAAATCCGGTTGTAAAAAGATAATAGGTATGTTAAAAAAAAATCATTTTTTTAAAAAAATCTTTGGTTAACGATGAATTGTAATCTATTTAACCAGGTGATCGTATTTACATTGATAAATTAGAAATATATCACGGTAAATTAAAAACGGCGTGTCATTTTCATTTTTTCGAACAGGTTCCCTATGATTACAAGGTGATAAACAAAAATCAATAATAAGTTTAATATTTTTCTGTTTTGTCATATAATGTTAAACTGAACTATTTGTTAAAACGGAGAAAATTAAAATAAGTTATCATAAATAACGTTGGTCCATCCCTAATAGTTGTGTAACGAAGGCAGGTATTAATTCCTTAATTAGTTTCGCCTTAAGGCCTAAAAATTCCTAAAAAAAGGTTTCGCTAAACTAGTTTCGCCTCGAATCATTACTAATGCCTATTTATTATTGCTACACAAATATTACAAAGTATTGATATAATGTATCATCGAGTTACCCTCATAAGATAAAATCTTTAACGACAATTTTGGTAAGATAGGATCGATATTTTTGAAAGATATACGCTTCACAAATCGAAAATTTCTAAATTTTTAGAAACGCCGACGGTTCGAACTTTCTAATTTGTCGAAAACTTCTCCAAATCCCATTGGTGTCCAGTTTTGACCTTCCTTGACAAACATAACGTCATCACTTAAATACATAAGTAAGCCACCAATCCCTTCTGAAGTACCACCCATACGAAATAGCGACTTTCCAGAATCGTGGATTTTGTTGGTTGGTAAAAACAAAAAGTTTTTTTCTTGAGCAAACTCCTCCACAATTTCGAAAAAGGTAATATCCCCGATATCCGTATCAATCTTTTCAGATGGAAATCTGAATTGTTCTGGTTCCGGTATTGTATTTTGTTGAGAAGGATGAGTCAACCTATCACAAATAATTAAAGAAATATTAGTAACGTAGTACAAAAATTATGATCTGCGAGTGTATAAAGAAAAAAAAAAACCTGATAGGTGCTTCGCTTCCTAAAGATATACTTTCTTCGATCATATATAACGCCCTCATAAACTGTTCTTCTATAATCGGACTGTCAAACATTTCTTTAGGAAACAGTAACTTCCAGAAAAGATACCTAGTAAATGCATATGTTAGATGATCCTTAGTATTTTATGATAAAAGTTTCAAAAAATGACTTACCATTGTCGTATCTCACCATAATTAGGATTATGTGTCAGCCAAATATATAATACATTCAACCATTTTGGAAAGAATGTATCTTCAAATAACTGATTGAAAGCTCTAGGAGTGAATAAATCTCGCCACGTCATGATACTATTGAAAACCTCTAATAAAGAATGTAAAAATTTGAAAAATATTCTGTATAAAGAAGGTAGACAAATAATATTATATATGAATATTATATTAACCTAATTCCTGTTTTTTTGGATTTATCTGAAGTTTTGTTTTCATGGTCACTGTAAGTTTTGGTAATATAGCTTTAACTAGGAGTGATTGCATATCTTCCGGCTTGAAAACCTATTAAACATATATAATTATTTATCAAGCTCATTCAAATCGAATATGGATTAATATTCAATGAAATCATATACAAACATTTTTCCAAGGTTCTATGATGTCAAATGCACTTGTATCAATAGGATCCCACCTTTGTAAGGATGATCGGAATTTTTGGCGAATGGTCAAATATAAAGATTCCATCCGATCACCTAATATAGGAAGCCAAGGATGCAACCATTGATGTATCATTTGTGTATCAGTATTTGGATTCCAGGCATCCACCTCTCTCGTCAGTTTTGGCATAATAAGCTGATCTATAATATTATCATAAATAAACATTGGCAACAAGGGTGGTTTCCAACATTCGAGTAGTGTTATTGGTGCGTCACAATCACGGGCATTCCAATTATTACTTGTATATTCAATTGAAATACAATTTAATGACTTATTAATATAATGAAGTATTAAATACACTGACAAATGAAAAATATTCAATACCTACTTGATTTCGGACCTGATCTTGGGAAGCCAAACGTTATACATCATACTTTCGTAAGGCGTCATGGTAATTTCACTAAAAAATTAAAAGGACTAGTTGCATAAATTAAATCGTCACTATACCCAAAATCTAATGAGAAATATTCGATCACATTACCTAGGACGTTGGTTTGAAGAACTATAATTAAACCTATCATCATCTAAGGGTGGAGCATTAGTTATAGGTGGACTTGTTCTGAATAAATCTTTCCATCTTTGAAAATCTAATAAACAGAAATCAGGAGATTTTAAAGGATTCCAATCGATCATGTTTTGTTTAATCTATGAAAATAAATTTGACACATATATTATATATGAGGAAGAAAAACTTATGATATTTAATTATACTTACCACTGGAGTAATAATTGCAATTATAGCAGCATCTAAATTATAAGTAGTGAATTCATTGACATATTCACTTTGTATTTTTTCAAAAGGGTCATAAAAATCTTTTAATGAAAAGGAACCGTTTGACAAGGAAAGGGTAAGCCGCATACTACATTCTTTAATAATTGATATTATTTCCCCAAGACGACTTATCTCTATAAAAAATCATATGTTTAATTACGTTAACAATCCATCTTAATGAGTTGTTTTATAGACTGTTTAAGAAATGATGAAACTCACTTCTTTTTTCATCATCTGTTTGTTCTGTTGCTATAATTTTATCCTTTTTCAATACCTTAGTTCGTTCGGTTTGTATACGCCGTTCTCTCGTGAAATGTTCCAAGTCCGCTTTCGATATATCAACAATCAACCGAAGATTATGACGCAATTCTGGTAGTCGTGTAGACGTGTCTGGAATTGCTAGCGAGGAAATTTGGCTAGCTGAAGAAAGCTCACGAATCTGCAGTTTGATTTAATATAATAAATAAGAGTGCAACAAACCAATTAATTTAAAATGAAAAAAAAATTATACCTGTGGACCGGTCATATCAATAATTTTGATCGGTTGGACCGATGGGCTAAAACCAATTTCGTTGATAATTTCATCTGCAGTCTTGTAAGCGATTTTAGGCTTTTTAGCCCTAGCAGATTTTTTCCATGCATTACTTTTTTCTTTTTTGACCGGTTTGATGCTAATTTCCTCTTCGTCCTCAACTAAACCTTGTCTAATAATAAGCGGACAAAATATGATTAGATGCAATTATTTGAAAATAAATAAAATTACTTAACACTTGCCTTTTTTCTACCTCTTTAGCTTGTTTCGTTTTTTCTTTAAATCCTTGAAATGCTAATCCCATCCTCGCAGGACGCAATTGCGTCTCAATTGGGTTGACAATACCGCTTTTATCTGAACCCAAACCTTCACCCTAAAAGAGATAATATTATATTAATTTTATTGAACAAAGATTCAGCCAATAAATAATTAATTTAATGCCCCACTTACTATTTTGTAACCATATTTCATCATTAATTTCAAACCAATTCCTTTTGTATGCTTCTCAAAGCTTCCAAAATTTTTATCAACTGGATTCTTTGAAGAATTAGATTTAATGCCAGACTGCGATTTCGGTTGTGACCCTTTCCTTTTCGTAGATGAAAATTGAATATTAAGCATTTCATCTAACGTTGTGGATTCTAGAATTGAGGCTGAACCTGATGCATAGGACAACATTTCCTTTTGGGTTGTATTATATCCTATTCCTGCACCTAATCCTCCTTTCGGTTCCTCTTCGTCAATATTCATCCGTGAAGAATTTAGACCAAGACCTACATGTCCTTCAAAATTTTCTTCCTCGACAGTATTGGAATTATCAGCAATAGAATCATCAGATATTTTTGTTATATTTTTTGCATTATTTTTTTTTGCTTCTACCTCCTCTCCACTTGAATGATCTGTATCTGCATAGTCAATCGCTTCAACATCCTCGATGACTGATCTCGAAGTTGAAGCAACAAATTGTACGTCTCTATATAAAGAATAAATAATGTTAACAAGGAAATTGTAATATATGTGATAACAAATTATTTTATCTTACCTTTTCTTGCGATTTGGCCGATTAGATCGATCAGCTTCGTCGGGCTCTGCCCAAATTCCAAGGTATGCATCTTCCTTTGTGAATTTGCGGCGTTTATGTCGGCGTGAAGGATCTATGAATCAAATTAATAAATACGTGTTAAAAATTCGAAAACCATTTAAATTCGAATTATCTTACTTTCAAATAATTCTCTTTCTTCCAATAAAAGAGTATCCGAGATTTCAGACAACTCTTTCTCACTTTCTGACGAGGAATCCAACCCGTCGTCAATTTCTTTATCCTTTCTGCGGCGAGGCATTTTTGTTATATCAGAAACGATTCCCACAATTTTTTTGTGGACTCATCAAACTGATAGGTAGTACGAGAATAAATTCACATGATTGGCTAGTTTAACGACTTCAATTTTGAGCCAATCATCGTTTACAAAATAATTAGCTACACATAAGGGGTATTCAAAATTGGTTGATGCGGATTTTGATGCAAATTTCAAGAAATATGATTGGCTGAAATTTATATCTGATTTTGCATCAAATGCATCAGCAAAATAGCAGGTGTAATTAATGTAAAATTTTAATAGCCCAAGTAGCCAATCTCAAAATAGTTACTTAAACAATTCTGAAAATCCTTATTTTTTAAAAATACAAATTCATAGAAATATATCAAAAAATGTATCGATTTTATTTAATCTTATACACTAAAAAAATAATAATTGATTGGTTAATCACAAATGCATTAAATTTGCATTAACTAATTTTGAATACCCCTATAAACTCTGTTTAAATTGAAAAAAAGTAACAAATCAAATTGTTGTTACAATTGAATATAATTTATATAGCTCAATCAAATTATATTATAAATAATAAATATGATTAGTTTCTAGCCTGTGTTATGTTAGTTTATCAGAATCGATTAGAGATAAATACCTATTTTCATGGATCAATTTGACTGATCACTGATTGATTTAATAATTAAAAACATATTTTCATCTTGCAGTCAATTCGATCTAATCTAGAATTGAACAGTGCTATAAAATCTTTGATCTTTTGATTTTGTTGTTTACTTAGATCAATCTTTAAGCATGTTTTTTTTAAGTTCATATTAAAGAAAATGCTTAACTCAAATTTCATTTAATTGCTTTAAACCTTCAAAATAATAAGATTTACATTAAATTCAAATATCTTAACTATAATCACCTCTACTTCTTTAATACCTATTTTGTATCTACTTTGTATATATAAGATTTTTAGTTGATTATAAATTTAGATTTTAAATAATTGGTTGCTAATATGATCAGAAGGTAAATAACAAATTTGTTATTAATCTTTAAACATATAGTTTTTAAAAGTTTATGTTAAATATAAAATATCTAACTCAAAATATTGTTTAATTTTTTCAAAATTTTCAAAATAACAAAAGATTTTATATCAAATCCAAATATTTTAGCTATAGCTATCTTTACTTCTTTATATATATTTTATCATTTACTTTATATGTAGAATTTTAAATATTATATATTTAATTTTCATATTAAAACTATTTGTAATATTATGTTATCTTTCTCTTTATTTAAAACTTATTCTTTTCTTTTATATTGTCAGCATTGAAAATTTGCCCTAGAAAAATGATTTACAAAATCATTAGATTTAATTTTATGTAGATCATACTAAGGAAGATCTTGATCGACGTATTGCATTAATTTGGAGGATTTGCAAAATTCATCTGATTCGCCTGTTTTTTTCTA